CAGTTCATACTGCATCCTCCGGTGGACAAAGCCAAGCGTCGACTGACCAGAACGCTGCACAAACTGCCAACAAACTGTGCCCCCCTTGCTTTCACTTGCGGTGAAGTTCAGGTGGCCATCGGGAAGGCGAAAGCCTCCAAAGCCATGGGTCCCGACGGAATATGCATGCTGATGCTGAAAAATTTGGGTCCTGCGGGGGTAGCGTACCTAACGGAGGTCCTCAATTTGTCAATGGCCACTCTCATCATCCCAGACATCTGGAAGGTGGGGAGAGTGGTCCCACTGCTCAAACCGGGGAAACCTGCGAACAAAGGAGATTCTTATCGTCCGATAACACTCCTTTCCCCGGTAGCGAAGACACTCGAGGCCTTGCTACTCCCGTACTTCACAAACCACTTGACCCCAGCGAAGCATCAGCATGGTTTCCGTAAAGTGCACAGTACAACAACAGCACTTAACGCCATAAACACTCAGATAACTCGTGGCCTTAACCGAAACCGTCCCTGCATGTTGGAATGTGTATATGCACGTAAGCATGTATGTATGTTATTAGAGAGAAATTTTAGCTGAATGCCTTTGCAAATATAATGCGTTCAATAAGATTCAAAGAACAACCTAAAATAAGAGTCCGTGTGTCGTAATTTATGAGGCCGATAAGAGCCTCAAAAAGAGGCTGAAATGATTCATATATGAAATGAGCCGTACATGAGGCCAATAAGAGTCCAATATGACTCATATTGAGGCTCATTTGATGTATGAATTTAAGCGCATATAAGTCGACCTCCGGAGGAAGGGAAACACCCTCATATCGGACTCATGCGTAAGTGCTCATAGCATAAGTGCTCCGAAATAGGACTACTTAAACAGCCCTATCGCCAATTCCATGTGAATAAATTGTTCCCATAATTTAACATGCAAAACAAAAACAAATTGGGAAAAATTTGTTTTTGTTTTGCTCGATAATTTTTGGGAATAATTGTTCATGTGAAATTCGCGATAGGCCCGATTGACTCATTTATGACTCCAAATGTTTGCTGGGGTGGGACGTGACATTCGTACGACTTAAAAAAAAGTGTGCGATTGGAACACTGGTGTCGGGAAAATTGATGAAAAGGAGGTCATAATGGACGTGACAAAAACCGAAATGGTTTCGGAGTACATGTAAAAATAAGCACAATTCGGCGAATCGTGTGAGGTTTTCCTATCTTAGACATTCTTTAAATAAAGTCATATTATGGACCATTACAACTAATATTTAATCAAAAGGAATTCGTTGTTGGTTTTATTTTGAAGTAAATTGTGATAACGGGCGTGTCATATTCTCCCTCATACAATATTTTTACTAATAATACATATACAATTAACTTTATTTTTTTATTTTTTTAGTTCTCTCCACCGTTTTGCCTTCTGAAATTTAGAGTTATAAAAAGTTATTTAAAGTTATAAAGCCGTTTGAACTCATTTACTTGCATTTTCGGCTTACATTTTGGTGGAAACATCCATATGTATATATCACTTGTACGGATCCATCAATGTTGCGATTTGTTTTTGAATGTAGGAATGGATTTCTTGCTGATCATTTATAGCACTTCCTGCGGCAAGTATCTCGACTTTTAGGGTATCAGCTTGCTTTCCTAAAACCTCTATTTCTCTGAGAGATAAAACATGCTAATTTGTTAAAACAATAAATGTATTGAATATGTATGTACATACTTGGTCTTATACATTATTTTTTTATGTCGGTCTCGTTTTTCCTCATTATATTGAGCGTGTTCGAGTTTAATCTTCTCCTTCAAGGTTTCAACAGCTTTTTGTTGTCGAATAACCTTTTGCGATTTTTTATACTTTTCTTTTTCATAATTTGCAGCCTTGGTTTCAGTTCTTATAAGTTTCTTAGTAGTTTCCTTGAAACTCTCTACAAAATCTGATGATAGTACTTCTGCGGCGAATTCAACAGATTTTAAAAGCTCCAGTAATTTATTATTGTCCACAATATGCGTCTTCAAATTGCTTTCAGCGTTTCGAGTTTGTTGTTCGCTTTCGGAAATATACTCATGTAGTTTAGTTAGCTGCCTAAGTGATAGATAGGTAAAATTAGCATGAAGATGATGTTATTGCAAATAAAAGGTTATCAAGGGTAAATTTATGAGCTTAATACAAAAACGATGTAGCAACGAACAAATAAATAGGTTTCCAAATAAAACGGTAATAACGCAATTCAAAGTTTAGGTAAAGAATTCCCAAATTACGTTTGCAATTCTTGTCCCTGCTCTTCGGGCACAATTAGCCTTCTTAAAATTCGTATTTGCCCTTTAAGTTCGTCTATTTTTAATTTTAGGTCTTTTATAGCATCCTCCATCTGTTGTGATTGCCCCATCCGATGTTTTATTTGGGAGTTAAGGGATTTTAGCTCGTTTTTTTGTAGTGGAACTTGTTTGGAAAAGTAGGTCACCTCTTCATGTATCTGAAACCAGAAGTTGAAAAAATTAGTGCTCAATCCGTAACTACTATGGATTTAACATTTTTTAGTAATACAAAAATTTATATATTTAGAAAGAAGTTCAATTGGGCATTTTTTTGCGTTACGGACGTTCCATGCGGAGGCACTTTTTTCATAATAAAAACAATAATAGGCTTTGGATCAGAACATTTTTTTAGCCATTCTTCCAACACAAGTAAAAATATTTCCCCTTAAAGTTGCCGTTCGGACGCTCCTAAAAACAACCTCATATTAGATACAGACAGATTTCTGCTCATCTATCGAAGTGATCAAAACGTGATACATGGGTCGTTGATAGACAAATGAAAAGGCTTAACCACTAAGTTATTAGCTTTGTTTCATAACAGATATTTATCCAAAAGTTCAGCTGTAAAGCGTTTCTTGACCCAAAAAACTAGCAGAAACTAGCAGCTTTCCAAATTAATAAACAAAAATTCGCGCCAAATATTTTCAATAGTAGAATACATCGATCAGCTGTTTACTTGTTAGTTTCTGCTAGTTTTCTGTTTCTTTGCTATTTATTTTTCCCCCTCACTGTGAACGTAAATCCCCAGCCAGCAAAAAATCCGAAAACGGAAAAAAAGTCGATGAAAACCAGATTTTTGTCCGTTTACCGATTCCATTACCGGATACTTTAATGATCCGTTTTCCCACTAGTGTGCGGCAGAAACGTATGTACAGAAAAGTACCGAAAATGGTGGTAAAAAGGATACGTTTTCGGCTGTTTTTTCTGAAATTTGTCTGATTGAATTTTCCGTTCAATACGCTTTCCTTCTGCACTTCACAGAAACTTTTTCATGGTTCAAAAGAAATAAAATAAAATTAGGAAGCGCCTGACGGAATTCGAACCCGGCACTTTCTGGAAGCTAACAAATAGCGGCACACTCTGCATGCTCCGCCACTGCCGACTACGCATGCATGCTTTCATATGTTTAGCTTGAGCAAATAAAATGCAATTATTGCTTTCAAATGACATCATCTTTTTCGAACGTTTTCCGGATACGAAAATTGATGATAACTGGTACGAGTTTTTTGTATGCGTTTTCGGATACGGAAAATTGAACTAAACTGCACTGTCGGCAAAATTTACGCTTCTTTGCTGGCTGGGTCTCTCAACTTTCCCATTCTTCTTCATCCTGATAATTATCTGCTAGAAAAGAAAAGAAACAAAGCCAAATTTAACTTTCTACAGACGTGTAGTGGTGGTCAAAACACAGGTAAAAAATGTTCGGACGTTCCCGTTGGGACGTTACAATTATCCCAGTGAATAAAAATGATAACGTTAAAGAACTCAACACACCGCTTACGTTTTTTATTCCAATATAGGTTTTGGTCTAGACGGATGTATACATGTATACTAGGCTGGGTCGATTTTGTATGGGGGAAAATAAAAGGCATTTGACCGTATTGTAATAGTAATATTATGATGTCTTAGTTCTAAGCCAATTGTTATTGGCCAAGAAAGATTAATTTAAAGCTTATCTTTAGCCCGCGTAATTGAATCAAAGTGTATGAATTTTGAAAATGAAACTTTGGCTTGTAATATATATGGAATGCGTTAATAGTTATAAACAGGAAGATATATCAAATTAAGGGTTATTAAATTTAGTACCTCACATGCATTTATCATTTTTCAATAAGTCTACAAATTGTCAAGGTATTAAAATAAAAAATAAGAAAACTATAATTTTCCCTTATGAATTTTCAATTCTTCATTACTTCAGCAACCAAGTGAAAAATACAAAAAAGTGAGACGAGATTTATTTCAAAGGTTATAATGCTTTCGGATGTTTATATAATATTAAAATTACCATGGACTTGGTCACGCCGATTTGGTCAGTTTTCAAGATCGTGGTGAATGAAGTCAAACATGTATTGTCAAAGATTAAAAATCGTTTGATAAGTTAATAGAAGTTGCAAGCATAAATATAAGTATTTACATACATTAACATTATACAATTAGGGTGAGAAACGCCCATTTGAAGTCCATTTTTCGTGGTTTCTAAATTTGCCGTTATATGAAAGTAGGGGACGTGCAACAAGTGTTTACATAAATATTTTAGTTAATTCCATTATGTGAAAAAGTAACTGTAGGTAGGTAAATGCAATAGTCTTTAACATATCCTGGAAAATCCTTTTGAGGACTCTGCAATTGGACGATATTGCTTTGCATTCAGCTTGAACGAAAAAAGTCACTTCCTGGCATACTTTTCTGTAAGCCGGTTCTTTCATTTAAAGGTTATTTATAAAATTGAAGAGAATTTTTTTTTAGAAAAAAACTGGAGATCCACTTAAGTTTTTCGATATAACTTTGGTAAATGTTACTCGATCGGCACGTAATAATTACCAAATTGAAGGCGAGACTTGCTATTACTGATTTATGATAATAATATGATGAAAATCATTCAGATTATAAACAAATTATTTTAAAATAAAAAAATGTTGAACAAATTTTTTTGTCATTTTCCTATATTTGCAATTATTATATTGTATGCATAAACATAAGTAAACTAATTAGTGTTTCTAGAAGTTGTGCCTGTTCAGTGCTTCCATACTCACTTTCATAAACAAAATTTTTTCCACGATGATGGAAAATAATGGCTTTTCTATTAGAGCTACCGAAATTGCTCCTAAATTTGCAAAAATTCGCAAACTAGCTAATATTAAAAAAAAATTAGAATATTTGGAACCAGCGACCTAAATGCACGCCAGCAATATTAATGCTGTTCTTTACATCTTTTGACTATAGGCCAGTGCAATTATCAAGAGAACAATTAAAATTTTATTGAAAAGAGATAACTTTGAGATTAACGACAAGCTAAAGGGCTGCAAGAAATGATATTTGACTTTATCTTTTACGTTAACGGACTCATTATCTAATAATATGCCCCAAACCTTTTTTCTGAACCCAGAATTTTTAACAAAAATTGGTCTTATTCGACTAGTGTGCTTGGCGGTCGATGCGAGTGCTCTCACAATTAAAATAAAATACTAATATTTTGCAGGCTGGTTGTTGACTTCATGATACAATATACTTTCACTATTACCAAGGGATTTGAGAAAAATTAGATTTTCGACCCGCCCTAATGTATACTATTTGCCAGAGATATTATGAACACATTAATTACATCGCTAACCTTTTCAATGAAAATTTTTCTTCAAATCTGTGTTGTTTATGAATGCCGTTTAACGTCATTGGGTTTCAGATCAACTTCATTTAAATATGCCAAACAAGTAGCAACACTGTTGCTTGCTCTTTGAAATTGTTGTTGCATTTGTTTGTTTACATTTTGCACTGAACAGCGGATTGTTCTTTGCAAGATTGATAAAGCAACCTATCTTTTAATCTTGGTTGTTTCGTACAAATACAGGGTTCCATATCTCATATTTAAATAGCCAATATTGGCCATTTAAGTGCAGATTAAATGTATCATCTGAAAATGAATTTTTAAAGTTAATCAACAATCTCTACTTAAATAGGCCATCTGAAATTGTGCCTTAGGCCCATTGGCAGAACAGAAGGTTATCTGTATAACTCAAAGTTTACCGATTATACCATTTTCCCACGACATCCTGAATTACTTTGTTCGCTCCCTCAATTACGACCGCGAATTACCCCATTCCCACGGGCACATTCTTAATTCGATTTGACAGTTCTCTGTATCTGTGTTTTGTTTTTGTTTTTTTCGCTGCAAAATTTAAGTTCTTCCTAAAAATTTATAAGTTTCCATAATGAATTTGGGATATACACATTTATAAACTGAACTTTCCGTACTCAGAAAAAATGCAAGTTTTGATTTGTGAGCTAGTTTCGATAAATTTCCGATAAAAATCAGAGACGGCACTGATTTGTTCGTAATTCGCATGGTAATGGGATCTGAACTACGAACAAATGAGGTATTTCGCTCTCAAAATTTTGTATAGCGAATTACGTAATTCGAAGGATAATTGGAGTACGAATTACGAATGAGAGAGCGAACTACGTAATTGGGATGCCGTGGGAAACCCTTATTAGACTGATAAGTTTTCTTGCACAGCAGTAGGTTAGGCATTACTTCAGAGCTAAAAATATAAATAAATACCTCAGCAATCTTCGAAGATTAACTTGCTAACTCTATGCAATTAATGCTAAATCAAGCCAGACGACTTCGTGTGAAAGACGTCCAACCTGGCAGTATTTACGGTCAGAACGCAATCTGAGGTTGGGGATGGCAATAGGAACAGGGGATGGGGATGGCATCGAAAACACGAAGGCGGGCAAGAGCAGCCTGACCACGCATGGTTTTGTGTGGAATCATACCTCGTTCAGCTTTGGAGAAGATGCGTGATGAAGTGCGGAAGAGATATGGACCACGAGAAGGATTAACATTACAGCGTTTATGCAAGTGTCAGGAAGCCTGGCTAAATAAATTCCCACGAACTCTATTCTGTTGAAATTAATATCTAATATTATTATTTATATAAAAAAAAAATTAGAAAGTCACGTAATTGAAATTATGATTTAATAATGTTGAACGCTCGGCAAATGATGAACGCATGTCAAGAGTTGCCATATGTTTACAGTCGGCCACTCCTGTCTATACAAGCGTCTTCGCTATTAATTGTCTTCGTCATCGGTACTTACGCCACCCTAGTTAATTTGTTCGTCGAGAGCTGGCAGATTGCACCACGGTCGAAGCTTATCTGAAGCGTATATAGACGTGTAATGACGTTGTTTGCGTGAAGTCTGGAAGATCAGTTATGACGTATCGATCTCGACCAAGGGCTTTGCTAATAACGAAGGGGCCTTTGTAACGTGGCTCCAACTTTCGTGATTCGCCCGTGCTGGCTGGTTCGTTCTCGACTAAGACCAAGTCACCGACTTTGTATTGCGTTGGCGTAGTATGTTTTTGGTCGAAACGTATTTTGGCCTTCTCTCGTTGTTGCGTAACTCGATCCGCGGCGGTGTGTCGTAGATCACTGAT